ACCGTTCGGTATAGAGAGCGAACTGTATAAAGCGAACTCACTCTATACCGAACAAAATCTCCCAGAACATGCAGTTCAGTATAGAGAGAGTCGACTGTATATTTTATAGTGTATAAATTTCACCGGGGCAAGATAGAACCAATTTTTTTCTTTTTTGATAAAAAAATTTCCTAAAAAGGAATTTATATATAATTTACTATAAAATTGATCATTGGGCATTACTTTTGTTGGCTACTGTACATGACCAATTCAGTATTGCTATAAAAATTTTCCCCTTCACATAATCTGTGTTATATAAAATAGAAAAACCCTATTAATAAATTTAGTAGTTTTTAAAACTTCTAGTGATGTTTTCTCAATTACTACTTGATAAAATATAGTAATTTTTTTTATTTTAATTCCATAGTTTTGTAGAATCAAAATAAAAAAAGTTCATTGATTTTAGTTTAGTAGTTGTAGAGAAATCATTACTAAAAGTTTTAAAAACATTTAAAAATCTTGAAAAACTAAATTAGGTAAATTTTTCTTTCTTTTGGCTTTTAATAGAGATAACCAACATCCAACTATCCAAATTCGATAAATTTTTTTATTTAATTCTGATAATTTGTAGAATTAAAATAAATTTGATCAAATTTTTTTATTTTAATGCTATGAATTTGTGAAGTCAAAATAAAAAAATTTGATTGAATATGATCAAAAAAGTGCCGAATAATCTTCGTTCAAAGTTTAGGTACCTATAAAAAAAAAGCTGCTGCCAAATTTTTTTTTAAATTTTAAATATTTTCCAACAACCAGCTATCCTAATTCGATCAATTTTTTTATTTAATTCTATGAACTCATAGAATTAAAATAAAATCTTTTTATAAATCCAGATAGTTGGTTGTCGAGAAATCTTCATTTAAAGTTTAAATGAAAAATTTATTGAAATATTTTTTTCTTAAAATTTTTTAAAAAAATTTAAATGAGGATTTCTCTTTTTTATTTTAATTCTATGAGTTCATAGAATTAAATAAAAAAATTGATCGAATTAGGATAGCTAGTTGTCGAAAAATATTTATTAAAGTTTAAAAATATTTTGGCCGCAGCTTTTTTTTTTTTTATAGGTGCCTAAACTTTGAACGAATATTACTCAGCATTTACCTGATAAAACTCGATCAAATTATTTGTATTTTAATTTCACAAATCCATAGAAGTAAAATAAAAAAATTTTGATCGAATTTGATCAGATAAGTGCTGAGTAATCTTCGTTCAAAGTTTGGATGTCTTTAAAAAAGAAGCTGTAGCCAAACTTTTTTTATTGACTTTTTTTTATTAAACCAAAAAAATTCATTGAATTTTGATAGTTGGATGTCGGGTTATCTCTGTTAAAAGCTAAAATTACCTGATTTTAGTATTTTTCAGATTTTTAAATGGTTTTGCTAAACTAAAATCATGAAGTTTCTTTTTTTTTTATTTTGATTCTACCAAATTTTATCAAGTAGTAATTGAGAAAACATCGCTAAAAGTTTTAAAAAACCATCGAATTTATTAATAGAATCTTCCTATTATATGTACACAGATCATGTGAAGGTCGAAATTTTTATGTGGTTGTTTAATTTCATGTGATCGTACTTTTTTATTGGACAGATCGGTCCTGAGTCAAAATTTGAAAGTTTGTACAACCACGATTGTCCACCATGCAAAAAGTATTATATTAATCATCGGTCCAGCTCTATTCGGTCCTATTCGGTCCTGGACCGCAGTACAGTCCGATTTTTTAAAAGACTGGCAGTCTTTTAACCAGGATGGACCGGATGGACCGATTAACAGCCCTAGTCATGATGCTAAAAAAACGTCAGATGCCTTGTCTAAGAAATTTGCATAAATTAAGCCACAAAGAATACATAATAATGCCTAATACTACTAAGGTAATGTTAACATGACTAAGATAGTACAATTGTGGAAGGTAAGTGACAACTTAAGGAATTAGACCAATACGGAAGTGATGAGACGCAATAAAACAAAAACGTTTCAGTGGGCAATTTCCTTTTAGGATAAAATGGGCAATGTGGCCCTATAAAAAAAGGTTGTTCGGTTATTGTAGGCTCTATCATTTTTTATACTTTGATGTAAAAAAAGAAATTTTGGATTGACATCATTAGATATAACATTGTATAAATCAGTACAGTATTTGATATATTCAGAAAATCGACTCTGTTCCAACCATTGCCGACAAATTTGAGCAAAGTTTTTTTATAGGGTAGCGGCTCACGATATAATACAAAAAATATGATAGGGAAGGCCTTGTAAAACCGGAAGCGTGACCCGGAATTCCAGATTTTGGTTTACCGTGGAATCCCAGGAATTCCGGGAGTATTGGAGGATTATTCAAAACGGACAATTAGGCGAAAAGAGGGAATATGTGGATAAGAATTCAACCAATAAGAGCAATTCTAACAATAAAAGTAATTTCAACGATAAGGCCTATTCTAGCATGTAATAATAGTTAGAAATTAATTATAAATAAAGGGGAAGTCCCATTTGACCGGAAGTAAATAAATACCTAAGCCAGATATTGTATAAACCACATTCTTTTATTAACCACTCAGTCAAATCTAACACACCCCTTTCGTCCCCGGATTCTGTTGGTCAGTAATTCGTACCTTATTGCTGCGGAACGATTGACCGACCGATTCTCGTTTTACAGCCCGAAACAGACATTAAACAAATACTAAACGATATGGTGTTAATTTGATTTACAACTTACAGCTAAACTATACGAATACAGGAATATCAACATAGGAGAATAATTCCATTAAATGGTGAATTAATTTACACCAGAAAATCATGTTAATCAAACTCATTTCCTCCGTTCTTATTATATTCTTGTATGATTCGTTATATTTTATCATGAAATTGCTTTATAATATATTTTTTATTTATGCCATATTTAGCTCGACATATATTTTTGCTATTTGTCAGGACATTCCTAGTCCTCGAAGTTTGCAGCCTAGTGTATTAGTTGGTTCTAGATTGTATTTTTTTGGTGGAGTAACTTCTTTTAATTCAGTAAGCAATGAAGTCTGGTATCTTGACCTATCAAATTCATTTAATATTTATGCGCCACCATGGCGTGAAAATATTACGATGCCAGTAGGATATTCTTATGGTAGTGCATGTGTTAGCTCTACTAATCTTATATATTTAATTGGTGGAAGAACATATCACCCAAATACTGCAAATTATTTAAATTTCTCATCAATATATGTACTTAATTCAAACACTAAGATTTGGTCATCTCTAGATATTAATGCTATTAATGTTAGCTATGCGACGCGTACTGAAACGCAAGCTGTTATCGATAATAACGGGACGATTTATGTCTTTGGAGGAGTATTTTATAATAATACAATAACTAATAATACAACAATTGTTACGACTAATGTTTCATCCTCCAATGAATTAAATATACTTGATACTTTATCATTTGTCTGGAAAACAGTTATCCCACCTAAACACATTCGACCTTACCTTCAATATACTGCTACGTTATTACCAAATGGCCTTATTATTTATATTGGTGGACATGAAGGTTGGAGTTCGGGTGTGATAAATTTTGTTAATATGAATCAGGTATACATTATTTTGTTAATATTTTTTTTAATTTTCAAACGTATATAATAATATTTTTCAATTGCATCTTATCAAATGCAGATTCGAATATATGACACTAAAATTGTCAATTGGACTACTAATGTAATTAATATAATTAGTTTATTTTGTTAATTTTTTTTACCTAATGTTTACTAATACATATTTAGATTACTAATGGTAGCGCTATTGCATCTCGCATTGGGCATACTACTGTTCTAAGTATTATATATATATTAATATTGTAAAATTCAATATGCATCTTTATTAAATATAAAATGGCTATTTTCTTTTTGTCAGTGCAAAACGGAGATATTATTCTATACGGAGGCGCAACGATAAATACTATTGGCGAGATCACTAGTGTGCTATCTGACATTGCGGTATTGAACACAAACAGATGGGAGTGGTCCTATCTAGTTGTTTCAGTAAAAAATGCACCACCACCACTCGTATTTCATTCTGCTGCATTATACAAAAATTATATGATTATTGCATTTGGTAATCATTTTATTTTATTTATTTGTTTATAAAAAAAGTTATTGAATTATACTATTTCATCTTCAGGTCAAACTTCAATATCAAATACATTTACAAACAACATTTATATTTTTGACACACAAAATTACTTATGGGTCGCTAACATAAATTCAAGCACATCATCTAATACACTTGAATTTATTATTATTATTGTTGGTGTGCTTATCGCTATTTTATCTGGAATTATGATTGTTTTGATTTGTATTCGTTCAAAATATGTAATCATTTGTCAATAATTTATATATATAAATTTTATAAGAAATTTTTGCGATTTTAATCAAGGCGATATTATCGAATATTAAATAGTCAGGATCTGTGATATAATTTGACAAGTTAGGTTTTCGATATATGTAAATTATTTGATTTACTATTAATTAATAAAAAAAAAAGTACCGATTAAATTTCGGTTATTATCTGTCCGCATGAAACTTAAATTTTATTTAATAAAACCTTGGCGTTTTTTATGACTAGTAATTGGTAAATTGGTATGAATAAACCTGCACATATGGCAACTTCGTCGCTGGGGTTTGATGTTTCTAGTGAATGATGAATAATTCTACCATTTATTATCTGTACAGATGTTATTAGCTTAGCTTTATTTGCCTGGTATAATTTTTCTTGTACTATGATTTATCATATAAAATAATGATTCGTGTGACTTTGACCAATATATTATTATTATCTTTATAATAAGGAAGGACAGTGAAGTAAAAAAAATGCAAGCTTCATCTCAAAATGTTTGTTGCAATACTTGATTTGTCTGCATTGTAACAAAAAAAATTGATCATAGAAGCTATGTATTTATGTATTCAAAATTACTCATTACCGACCTCAGTTCCGTTCACTGACAGCTTAGTTCACCGACAATTAATTTACTAGTAATCTTACCTAATATTACTTAATATATATTATTTAAGACTTTTTTGCAAATAAAGCAATAATAAATTATTTTAGATAATTCTATTTTTAGTATCAAATTTACTCTTAATATCAGTTTTGGTGATTAAATTTACACGTAACAAGTAATAGAATGTAATAAATATTTAATACTACTTAATATTAAGTAAGAGAAAGCATTAAGTTATCATTAATTTAATTGCAAAATTACTTTGCCAATCCATATAATTTACAGGCAATTAATTCACCAACAAATTCATTTCATCAACAGTTATTTTACAGGAAGCTTATTCAAGAAATATATTCTGGATATTGTCATTAGTCAGGATAGAATTAGAGTTAAAGCTAACGTAGCTTATTAAATTAATAATAATAATAATAATAATTTAATATGTTCAAGATGTGTTTTAACGTAATATACATGAATTTTGAATATATTCATTTGGGTATAAGCTTGTATTTAGTATTTAGGCAAGCATGTAATAATTTATTTTTCTTCATCTGATGTTTTTTGTTTTATTTTTTTTTAAAATGGATACCGATTTTTAAAAAATACTGTACATATGTCTTAATTTACGAATGACAGGTCAATTAATAACTGACATAAATTGAAAATTGAAACGGAACATTTATACTGTACATCGAAATCGATTTGTACGTATAGTAGTAAGTTATTTATTAGACAAAGGCAAGATTTAGATTTCTCATTTTTTGAAAGACGAATCGTCTTTTCTTTCTTTTTGTCGTCTTTTTTTAGATGACGTTTTTTTGAATAGAAGAAAACGTTTATTTCGCTCAAAGAACTAAATTGTGCTGGATAAAAATTGGTAGTTTATAATTATATTAAGGTTTTTATAATTTACTTACTTTTCGGTAAACAGGTTGGTATTCCCATAACTTTTAAAATTTTCTTTAAAGCGATCTTGAGAATCAAATAGTCTAGTAAAAAAAATGTACCGGATTGGCACGGGTCAAGATCCGGATTTGTACGGGTACGGTCCGAGTTGGTACGGATTCGGTGGATTCGGTGGACCGTGTGAGACCGTATGCCCGAGCCAATTGGACCGTAAATGGCTCGGGTTTTGCAGCAGTTTGCTAGTCGGACTGGCACGGGATTTGGCACGGGTAATAATACGTAAGTTCACGTGCCACCACGACACAAATACAGTACAATGGATTAATTATTATAAACTTTACATTAGTAAACAAGATAATATGAACAAACTAACTGCATATGAAGTAAAATTTTGTAAGGAATCTTTTTTGTTAAGATTGCACTTTTTTAAAAAAAAATTATTTATTGATCTTTCGCTCTCAGTGAAACGAGCCAACACGTGTGCAACGTACACATACGTGTCATCTGAACGTGTCCGTAAAATGTGCCTGTGCGTGCCATACAATCCGTGCCATTTCGTACATTCCCGAAACCAACCCGTACCACAACCTGTACCGCTTTTCTTATAGGGTAGTAATATTTTTAAAAAACCTTTGGAAATATATAGCATCATCGTTTCGACCATTTGTTGCAGGATATACACGAGTTTCAATATTATCTTGATCAGTGCGTTGCTTAATGTACGTTGCTAATTAGTTCAAAAAAACTTTCGATTAGGCAATTGTGTTCCTAAATTATTTCTAGCTTACTTGATTAAAGCTCTTCGTCATGCCCGTATAAAAAATTTCGACAGCATAGTTTGCACAATACTATATTTAAACTCCTCCTTTTAATGACTTTAACAATTTAAATTTCTTTATTATCTGTTTATGTTAGAGGTTCGGATTCTTTGCATGTTTACAGCTGTTTTCATAAATCCTGAAAATCTGGCAAAAATTGACCGAATATTTGCCGATTCGATAAGTTTTGATTCATTACTGTAACCATACCCGAATTAGAAGTTTATCACTGCGAACCAAAACTTATCAAACCGGCAGGTATTCGGTCGGTAAATTTTTGCCATATTTTCCAGAATTTATGAAAACAGCTGTAAACGCTCATAAAAACGTAAATTTCGACGTTCGGTCGAAGGACTCGTGATTGAGAAAATTGTAACTTTATTATTCCACAGTATTATTGAAGAAAAGATTTTTTAATAAACTAATTGACTATAAATATAAAGTGCGTCACTTACTTTGTTTTTTGACATCTCTTGTGTAAAATCGTATAAATAATGTCTAGTCCATATTTCTAATAGGAAGATGGGCTTGACATAATCTACATTACTTTACAATAAGTAATGCCAAAAACAACTGAAATTGAATTAATGAATTAAAATGTTTTATTTATAACTCAAATTCTAAAATAAATAGACTACAAAAAAATTTTATCAAACGTGAAAATTTTCTAATTAAAATAAAAAAATTAATTTGAATTCATCACAACCAATTTAAATAGTACACATTACAACGAATAGATAGCAGAATAAAGTATCAGATTGTAATTAGCATGTACTGTACGATAGGGGCATCGGTAACGACCCATTTTCGCTCGTAAACCTTATTAAAATCCACATATACTCCTATCACAGTCAGACTGCTCTAAATGCAATGCCTCTAAACGCAATATCTATCTAAATGCAATTTTTGGCTCTGGCTCAAATATATATCAGACCTCTATAAATGCAATTTTTCATATTGTTCTCTAAATGCAAACTATCAAAAGTCAAAAACCTGGTCCCTACAAATTGCATTAGGAAAGCGTGACTCTGTAAGCTTTACCCTAAAATTTTAAACCCTAAAATTCTAAAATTTCGTCTAAACTTCAGCATAAACCAAAATTAAGAATTATCATTCAATGTCATGGCTGAAACTGGTCATATTTAAGACATGTTCCCTATTAAAGATATGTTCCCTATTAAAGGTCACCTTTTATTATAAGCTCTAACGATAAATCCAACCCCATCTATAAAAAAATATCATAAAAACGTACACAAAAAATTTCAAAATTTCATAGTAAAATAAATTCAATACCTATCTACAGCATTTTCCAGTTTCAGCCGTGACATTAAATAATTTATACTAGTTTTAAAATAAATGCAAAATTGTATAATAACGATATAAGCATCGCAAAATTAACATAATGAAAATATAACCAAGAAATCAAAATGAATAATATAAGAATTGTTAAGATTGCAATATTTTCTTTTTCAGATTTTATTCTGATATCAATTACTTCTTTTTTAATTTCTGACGGCATAATTAGGACTTCTGACCTAACAACTTGAAACACTTCATAATCCGAGATCGTAAGTGTATTCGGTATTCCAATGTTATGGTAAGAATGTACACCATACATCCAATTTCTACTGTTAGTTGGAGCATATAAATCGGTACTTCCGAATGTAGGGCCATAATTATTATTGCAATAAACTGCTTTACCACTGTTAATAACGCGCCCTAATTTTATCTTTTGGGGATTATTATGAGCATCTAATGAATATATGAAGCTATTTGTTGTATGTTTCCACACATTATCTCCACTCCAATCAAGTGGATTATAGCCACCAATCAGCAGGTTTGAATTTGAAATTTTCGCTATAACAATTGTTGCTCCTTTATTATCGCATTTATTGTGGAATACACAGGATGAAAGGCCATCTGCGCTACTTCGAAAAAGAAGATTAAAATTATAACGAATTTCCCTTGAATCTTTTATATTGTAATAAATAGTTTTTTTATCTATCAACTTTGCAAATAATAGTGCTATCTTTTTATTAATTAAAACTGAGTCAATTTTAAAGTTACCCCATCTGATTGGAAATGCACTATAAAGCGGTTTGGTGCCTGAAACTAAATGGCAACGTAATATATCCTCAATTAGGCTATTAGGAAGAAGGAACCTAAATGGCCATATTTCAAGCATAAACTCATCCTTTTCTATCTGATAAAATCTTATAAATCGAACTAATTCATGTAATGTCTTTTCTAATGTTTTAAAGTCATCATGTGTAAATTTTGTCACATCACTTTGAAGCGTCTGATGTTGAGCAATTCCCCATTTAATTAAAAGTTTCCAGATATCAATTTCTTTCATGTTGAGATCATCACGTTTAAGAACTATTTCTAGTACATCTTTTTCTAATAAAAGGAACTCGTCTGATTTAAATAATAAATTAGGATTTGCACAAATAGTCTCTAAAGAAACTTCTCTAAGATCTTTGAATGCTTCACGATGGATAATAAAATTAAGTATTTTAATAGGATCTTGTCGTAAAAAATCTTTGCAATTTCTACTAAAAGTTTCTAAATAAACTTTTTTAAGATTATCGAATGCATGATGACAGGTAACAAGGTAAAGCATTTTAATAGTTTCTGATTGTAAGAAATTTAGACAATTTTGAATTAAAAATTCTTGAACAGAATCAATAAGTCTTTGAATACCAAGCTCATCTGCAGCAATTAACAGCTC